AGGTGACTATACGATAGATGGAGGTCACTGAGGGATGTAATCTTAACCGAAGTAAAATTCTAGGAGAGGATGTCATTGGGGAATTTAAACCAAACCTAAAGTTCTTCATTTTATAATGAATACTCTAAGAAAGAAGGTCATTAGAGGTCTTAGTTCTAACCTAGAATGTTGGTGGGATGATTATACAAAATAAGAAGGTGATTGGAAGAAATTATCCCCTAACCTAAGTAGTAAATTAGGGAAAATCTCTAGGTTCACTAAATTAATCCTCAAGATTTTTATTTTAAGGTGATTATATTAAGAAAGAATGTTGTTGTGAGGCTTAATTCTAACCAAGGCGGTAGTCACTGTTACTATAATAGGAAAGGAGGTCACTAAGGGAATTAGACCTAATACATGCTATAGTCTATGAGAGGATGCCACCTTAGGCTTTAAGTTTCCTTGGTAATTTTTTTTTCTCTTAAAGGTTTTTTTATGAATTAAGTTAATAAAGCAGTCTCAAAGAAAAAATATAAACATAGATTACGAGTGAAAGCGCTAAACTATCGAATCAACTATGGATAAAAAAATTTCATCAAATTAAGATATAAGATTTGAATTATAATTTGTTTTTTTTATGGACAACACTAACAAAAAGGTCATAAGGACTTAATGTAAACCTAGATTTAATAGCCATAACACTCACCAACTAAATCTTCCACGGCTCAACAAAGTCCATGAGTTTAAGAGTTGCATTAAGGGGTTAGAAGGCCTTAGTAAAACTCTAGTGAATGTTAAATAAACCTATGAATGTCTGAATAAGGCCATAAAGGTCTAACAATCCTATCTTTATGGCTTTCAATGGACTAAACTAGTAAGGGTCTGGAAGGACTTGATCTTAACTTGAATTTGCTTGCCAAGGCACTAACTTATTGAAATGGCTCGACAAAGTTAATGGAACTCAGAATATAGAGATTTCAAGTTCAATTTGACTATAAATTTAGAGGTTCTAGGAAACTCGAGACACTAAAATGTCAATTGAAAGGATCAAACAAAAGATTGCCCGGAAGATGATCATCCTATGTCTATAAAGAACTGCATAAAAAGGAGTCTAAAAGATTAAACTTTCCTGGACCTATTAGTTGTAAAGGGTTATGAATTTGAATTTTGAATAATAAATCTTATTTAAGTATGTTTTTGAACCATAACACAACATTTTTTAAAATATGTTTACATACATATTTAAACCTAATTTTAACTATTTTTTTATCATGCTTCAACATGTTTGACTTATAATCAAATCTAGTTTGTTCCAAAATAAAATACTATTTCATTAAACAGTTGATATTTATTTGAGCATAGTTCTAACATAATTAATACTTCATTTGAAAAGGGTTTTTATTCAATTCAAATAAGACTTTATTCTTATTCTTAAAATGGTTGAACCTTTTACAGATAAAGTTTAACATTGTTAAAATTATGATCCGAAAAAATCCAAACATTGTTAAAGCATTATTTTAAAAAGGTGGGAACTAATATGCATACCACACAATTCTTATGTATTTACATATCTAAACCTAAACATTCAAATTTACATACTTCTCAAACTTTTACTATCTCATCAAAAATAACACATCACTATTGTACTTCAAAAATGTGTTAACACGAATCTCAATGAAATCCAACGGATTAGGAGACATGAAAGTAAGGCCATTGACGACCCAAGAAGAAAAACCAAAAATTCCATCATTGGAAGATCATAGTACTTGATTGTCTTAAGGAAAATCCTTTCAACCAAGACTTGAAGCCGACCAGACGTAAGCCTTCTAAGTCAATGACCAAAACCTATCAAGTCGAAAGATGGCACCAACCCAAAACTCGCCTCAACATCACCAACGATCTCATAAGGGTCAAGACTCTTCATCAAGAGGCTGAAAGATATATTAGGATATACTTCACGAAGATCCCAAAGAACTTTTTGTTAAGGGGTGAGCTACCTATCAGATTACAAGTATTCACTCTCTACCTAACAACCTAGTCTCATCTTAGCGATAGAAGCTTCTCATGTAGGGGTCAATAATTGACAACCGGACCAAAGTAGCCGACCAGTAGACTTAAGTTGATCGAAGCAAGTAAGGATGATCGAAGATCAACAAGAGCCGATCTGTAGCCCCAACTTAGCAAAATTAGACAAACGAGCCTTGTCGAACCAATACATGTTAATCTTAATCAACTAAGTGATATGGTAACTAAACCGATCCTCAATCACATAGTAATTTAGCTTCCAAAAGATGACCATTAACTTGACCCAATTTATATTTAGCGACTATTGTAAAAATCAAAAAGTTAAAAAAATTAGAAAATAATCTACACTAGGGGTACTACGCAAGTATGTGTATCGTTTCAAGTAATATAGGACTTTCTTTAAAACCACAATATCAATCCCACAGAGAAGCCAGGTAAGAAATCCCTTGTGCTTATTTTAGTCTACTGCTATTAGTCATTAGTTTGGAATGTCCGTTAAAGTGGTTTTCTTAATAACTATTCCTAAATTAAAATCTTAAATATAAAGATAACATATCTTGATAAATTGGTTTGGAGAATTTTGAGATGATAACGACTACCCTTCTCATGCATTAACCTAGATAAATTGTCGGAATGAAATATTTAAAGTATAATGTTTTCAGTGACAAACATGAGCATACCTATTATTTACCCTCTCTCGAGTGCAAAAAAATATTGGTTAATCCAGAGTTTAGTCCCTAAACTCGTGGTTAGGCTAGGAAGAAACTAGCTCTCACTCTATAGTACCCCTCACTTTAGGGCTAAAATTTTGCTTTAGTTTCTAAATATATGGACCAAATTGGTGATTTTAGTCTTTCACCCTAAAATCTCTAATTCTACGCCCATCAAAAATTATCTGCCTATCTATTTGTACTCCCCCTTGGATGATCACCATGAATCTTTCCAAAGTTGAGTGTGGTACTCACTAGTTGGTGAAATCATAGCTCTTCAGGGTCACTATATTTAGCAACAAATTTTAACAACACAAGTGATTAGCTTGTAAAGTAAACTAAGAGCTAGTGAAAATACCATCACATTAATAAAATATGAGAAAATTGAAGCAAATATAAATTTCTAAACATTGCTTCCATTCCATTGCAAAAGAAAAGTAAAATGAAGATAATGAGATAAGCAGTAAAAAAATTGATAGAATTACGAATAATTATATGCCAACAAGGAACATATGTCTACCTACCCTCTTTCGAGTGTATATGCACGCTTAGTATTCCATCAATTTTATGCAACTATATGCCACCTAGAAACTTTTATCAAAATAGATTACTAAGTTATATTTTCTTAACGTTTGCATTGTCGCCTAAATTATGTTACCATAACCAACCCGTAAATGTGAGTGCACTCATGTTGTGAGATCACTACTCTCCCGAGTCTTAATTTTTTTTATAACAAATTTTAACATAATATATTGGCACTTAAGTTAGGTCAATGAAGCAAAGAAGATATTACTCATCACATTAAATCAAAAACAGTTTTATCATGAAACAAATTTTCCTACTTATGCCACTGCTTCATATCGAAAGAAAAGAGTAAGGAAAAATCATAAAGCATGAATTAAATACAACAAAAAACTTCATTAAATCAAAGTAAATCCACTAGAAAGTATTTACAATAATTACAAGATAATGAAGAACATAATACTTAGTTTTTCCCTCTTAATAACAGATGAAAATCCCCCCAACAAAGTCTCCTATTGCTTAATGCAATGCTCATACAATTTCTTTACACATATCTCTCAAAATCCCTCACTAATCTTTCTAGACATTGTGGAAATCTAGATCTCCATCTCCTCTTTAAACTCACACCAAAATTCTCTCCAAAGATCCCCTCCAGACTCCTTATGAGAGGTGCCAAGCCCCTCTTTTTAAAGAGTCACAAAACAACTCATTTTTCCAAGAGACACATCTCTTCACCCAAGAGACACGCCTCTTTACTCCAAGAGCATTTCCATGTGTCTAGATTCATTTAACCACTCAATGGGGCGTGCAAGTTTTTTAGAATATTCTAGAACATCCCAAAATAGCCCAAAATTGCCAAAAAATCCGCCCCTTATCAATTTCGGGCGCCTAGGCACCGTCTTCTTTGTCGTCTGGCACCTAGGTGCCACCCTACAGGCAGCTCCACCATTATGCCCTGTTTCAGCTCCGTTTCGCCCCGTTTTAGCTTCGTTTCACTCCAAATTAGTATACCTACAAGATAAACATGAAAATAATTTTTCTTTAAAATGTAATTTTATTCAAAAATATGTGATAAATGTAAAAGAAATTAAGTATAGAAAGACATCAAAGTCTGGTCAAAATTTTTTTCCTACAAGATATGCAAGAAAACAATCTTTCTTTAAAGTATAATTTCATTCAAAAACATGTGATAAATGTAAAAGAAATTAAACATAGAAAGACATCGAAATGTGGTGGGTCAGAATTTTTTTCCTTGCTCGTTTTGACTCCAAACTACACCATTTTTGCTTCATTTTCTCCAAAAGTTCATTTCTTGTACTTGAAGCTAAACACATGCAAAAATAACTTCCTTTAAAGTGTAACACAATTAAAAATAAGCATACAAATGTATATGAAAAAGTAGTCATTTTTTAGTTGTATAAATAATCGAGCCATAGACTCATTTATATAAATGCCCAAAATACCCTCCACTGCCTCGTTAAAGCGAGGCTAATCATTTATTTAATTATATATATTGTATCCCCTCTTCTGTAAATAAGGGATGATTTTTTTAGTAAAGGCTAATCAAACACAATCACCTCCATTAATTTCAGTATACTCTTTCCACTCTCTCCATTTCTCTCCTATTTTATATTCTATTATTCATTAGGTGTGACTCTTGGATAATTTAGAATTCAACAATTGTCTTCTTGAAAGTGAAATATGTATAAATTTATAGCATAGATGTTTTAAGAGTAAATAACAAATTTTGGGCGATTCGAGTGAACTACATAAAAATTGTGCGCGACCCATGAAATTTCAAAGAATTAGACTGGATTCCAATAGACGTCGAACTATTATCCTGATCTGCATGATCTGCCCAAAATTATCTCAGGCCAAACAGAGCCAGCCAGCGTGCGAGCGAGCGAGCTATCCACACGGAATAGAAATACGGGAGAGACGGGAAGACAGGCATGGCGGTGACTAACGCCTGGGTGGTGCTGCGTTTGCCCCTTTTTCAGTCTCAATTGTGCCTCGATCCGCTCTTATCCCAGTCGCCGCCGCTTCCTCAGAGAAAAAACAGCCTTCTCGGCGATGGGGGAGCGGCTGTCCGGTGGTCCCTCTTAAGAGCCAGCCGAACCAGACCTACCGCCATTTCCTGTCGCTGCTGTAATGGCGACGAAGGAAGTTCGGAGTGGAATTGGAGCCGTTGGAGCAGTCATTTCTCGGAGACGGACCATGCCGAGAACATCACCTCCGTTCTCAAGGTAATCCATTTCCCGGCTCCTCATAACTTGTCAGCTGAGAAAGAAGTAAATAATTAAGTATTTTTTATTGAGAATTTTCGTCCTTACATGGTGTTGGCCTGTCTTTTCTATGGCGGATGCCCTGTTATGGTGTCAAAATTCTTCTTTACACTATGCGACAAGCACGATGTTCCGGTGGAAAGGAAAGAAATATATCTTTTTCTTTCTACTATCAACTGGGTTAATTATTCGGTACAATACATGTATTATGAACTGAAGATTAGAACCTGTACGAGAGGGCAACCGGGGAAAAAGTGCAGCCGACTTAATTATTGGACTATGAAGTATGAACCTCTGCCATAGCTGAGTTCTAAATGCTACAAAATTCTATAATGCACCTTGTGAATCGGGGTTCTTTGTTATTACTTGGAGTTAGCTTGAAGAAGGATAAAATTGTATTTAAAATTTCAATAAATACTAATTGTTGGTTAGTGACATGAACTATCGATCTTTCATTTTGTAGAAACAACCGCAAATTCGAGATACTGAAATCTTGCGGATATGGGGTATCATTGTTAGGGCTGACCTTGCCCATGCATTACAAAAGACCAAATAACATCTGGTTTTCTGCTGCTCTATGAGATTATCATTGTTAGGACTATTGTGCCAAACTTTTACATTGTTCATTTGAAATAATATTCTATCAGATATTAATTTAGTTTAGTCCAGTTTAAGTGAGTTTGCATCTCTCATAGGAAGCACACTGCTCTATAAGATTATCATTTTACCATTTGTAAATAGGATGCAGATTCTTTTGGTTCATTTCATGTTATCCATTTGCGATTTTTTTTTGTCAAGTTTAGTTTTCTGGGTATACTTTTTCTCAGTTACATGCCATCTATGTCTTACTGGTTAACAAGTTCTCTTGTGGTTTATTTCATGATTATATCTTTGGGACTCATAAAATTTAAATCTAGTGTTTTAAAATGGAATGCACAATGCAATGCAAATAGTTATTTTTTGTTTTAATGCTCAAGTATAAAATGAGTAATGCTTTTATTAACTAAAGCATTCATGACCCGCATACCATTTATACATGTATTTACACATATTGTACCCATTTTTTGTAATAATTTTAAGAAAATATAATGATACATGTAGTGATAATTGTGAACTATGAATTAATTAATAATTTAATTAAAGATTATATAAATTGAAAAGGAATATGAGGCATATACTTAATTTGAAGATGGTCTTCAAAAGTGAGCATGCAAATTTTAATCTTTTATTCTTTGCATACTAATTAACAAAGGATTAAAGGAAATTAGTTAATTAATATAAATCTAATGAATTTCCAGATTGCAGAACCATATTAAAGGCATCATTTTTTGTTCAAAACAAAAGCTGAAGTTAAAACACATAAAATTTCATCCTTAAACACCTATCAAGTTTCCTAAAGGGAAATTTGTAGCCATCATTCTCTTTGGCTTGACATATGCTTTTATATATATTTTTTTTTCCACTACATGTATGCACTCACTCACTCGTTGACAAACGCACAAGTGCGAACATACACATAGATAAGTATATATATGTATATATATGTATATATATATATGTATATACATGTATATATATGCATGATGGAGAACCCCTGGTTTGATTCCTTCGCGGTCTTTCAATCCATCCTCTTGTGATCGACGACGTTGTTTTCATACTCGACTACGACGACGGACTTCGCACTCCTTTACGATCGTCGTATTCTCTTTCGGTCGCGGTTCTTTTCTGCTTCTGCGGCGTCTTCCTGCTTTTGCGGTGTTTTCCTGCTTAGGCGTCTTCGCTTTTGCGGAGCCGTCTCGTCCTTCGCGCCATGGTTTCTTTTCTGCGCGGCTTCGGTTTGTACTCTGTCGAGCTGTGACTTCTTCGCATCCGTCATCTGCAGTCTGCGGTTCCTGTCTTCAGCTGCGCTGCTTCGCCCCGACCACTTGCTGGGCTTTCTTGCTGCTATGATGGAGCTTCCTTCTTCTTCAGTTGAATTTGACAAAATCTCATTTGCCCACGTTGTGGGTAATCCTCAGGGGGAGATGACAGTTATTTTCCCCTCAAGTTATAAAGAGAATCGTGATGGTACAAGTAGCTGCCCCTTTATTAAGAATATAAGCAGGAAGAGTGGTAAGACAACACTTTTTTTTTCTCCGAGTCAGAAATTTCAACCCTTACTGACAAATTCAAGTTTGCTCTCATCGGAAAATTTCATTGGGGACACCCACCTATGGAGTTATCAGGAAAAGTTTTGATGATCTCAAGCAGGAAAGTGGAAAATAGGGCTCTTGGATGGGAGACATGTATTAATTCAGTTAACCGTACCTGAAGACTACACTCCGATCTTCTCCAAAAAATATCTTAATATTGTTGGTAAATCAATGAAGTTACTTAAGTGGTCTACTGATTTTAATCCCAATCATGAACCTCCTACTATACTGATATGGTTTAGTCTACCTGGTCTCAAGATGCACTTTTTTCATCATCAGGTTCTTTAATCTATTAGTGTCATACTTTGGAACCCTATGAATCTAGATCTACCCATTTTCAACCTTACCAGACCTTATGTGGCCAGAATACTTATAGAAAGAGATATTACTTTGTCTGATGTTACTGAAGTCTGGTTGGGCACAACGCATAATGAATATTGGGAACAAATCGTCATAGAGCATCCTTTTTGTTCTCATTATAAGATGTTTGGGCATACTCTTAATAAATGTCATAAGCTTCATCCTAATTTAAAATCTAAAAAATCAAGTTAATAAGGATGGATTTAAGGATATATGTGCTCCATCTGGAGAGGAAACTACCACAGGACAGAATTTGGTGTATGATTCTATTGCTCCTGTGGACCCTCCCCTTGAAAATACTGTTTTTGTGATCGATGAGAAGCTAGATGGCCATGCTGAGCAACCTACACTTTTAACCCTATTGAAAATAATAATGAAGGACCCCTACCTACACAAACTAAGAATCGGGAGAATCTTGTAGCTCTCCAGGAAGTATCAGCGGTAGAGACGACTACTCTTACCTCACATACACTTGTGGGCACAACTGTTGACAATCTTTCTATTGCTGCACTACCACCTCATCCGAATGAGCAATAATCTTTGGATGAGAAATGACAAGTCTACACTTACAGGAGGAAGAAGAAGAATGGAGATCTACTTGAGCTAAGAAATTTATGGATAATACTCTAGTTACTTCGGGCAATGGTACACACCTCACAAATCTGTTAGCTGGTTTCTTTCCGAGAATTAGAGGCAGAGGCAGAACTAAAGTGGGTCGACCTGGTTGATAATTTATGTACCATCTTTTTTTGGGTTTTAATTTTCCTTTTTTTCTTTTTGTGTGTGTTGTACCGTATGTGTTGGGTGTCTATTTGGATCCACTCATACAACCTACTATGCTCTTTTCTCTTTAATATAGTTGCCCTTGGGCTTTATATATATATATGTGTTAGCTGTGTTGTTTCAATTGACTTTGCCAAGGTCTTGGTTCTTGGTTGTGGGGAGGAGTCTCCCAACATAAATACATTCCAACCAACCCAGAGCGGAACCCTAGTCTTAGGCCTGAGGATTGAAGAATGCTGCTTGGCCTTCAACTCGGCTAGGCGAATTGGTAGGACTACATGGGTGGAGGACATCTTAACTCAATGATTAGCTCGTTTCCATGTTCGCACAAAGAAACAGGGGACTGTTGACTCTCAATATAATTTCTTAAAGATATGAAAAGAAGGATATTAAGCATTATGACTGCCAAAAGAGGTGGAGCCTCTGGCTTTGCCTGTAGGTTTTGACTCTCGAGGGGTCATCTTGGAGCCAGAGCAAGGTTGTAATTTTCCTTTCTCGGGATAAATGTATGAAAAATTATTTCCTTTCTCAACTTTCGCTTCTATATAAAGAAGAGGTCAAACAGTTAAAAATGGACCTTCTTCTCCTGGGTATTTTCACCATAGAGCAACTCTTTTTCTATTGTTCTGTTGTTCTTCCAAAGCTTCATTTTCCTCCTCTTTCTTGCTCTAATCTAGGGCATGTCCATGGATAATTTGTGATTCAACATGTGCGGTGAGCGTGGAGCGTGTCACAAACTATAATAGAAACATACAAAGACCCGAAATGTTTGGACAAAGAAGCATCGGTTCACATGGATGAAACGAGGGAGTTTGTGACGTAACAATTAGCGGAGTTTGAAACATGGATGACTAGAATGGTGTGGGAGGCATTAAGGAAAAGCATAAACCCTATACAACATTACAAAACTTTAAGAAAACATTTGCAACATTATAAAAGTATAAGATGAAACAAAACCTCCTAAAATGCACGTTTGGGACACAAATGGGCAAGTTTCTTGGTTTTTTTTCTTACCCCAAAAGACATTAAAATGAACTCTAAGATGGTGCTAGTGATCCTCAATATGCCCTTTCCTATCATCTTAAAAGAACCGACACTTTGCATTGAGCTGCTTAATTTCACAGACGGGGGGAAAATGTTTGTCCTTCTTCAAAAAGTTGTGGAATGCCCAAAAATTTATCTGGGGTGAAGTTTGTGAAGAAGCATTTGGATGCCTGAAGACTCTTTTAATTTTGTCACCTTTGTTACATAGACCTAGGCTCGAGGAAAAACCACTTTTGTACTTGGTAGTGGGCGATGTGGCAGTAAGCTTACTTTATCGCGTTCCAATGAGAAATCTATCAACAATTCTTTATATACCATACTAGCAATGTTTTGAATGCCATCGAGCGGAGAGACTTGAGATGTAGAAATTAACTTTAGCTCTCATTATAATAGAAATAATTTTGAGGCATTATTTTCAACTGCATTCAATTTATGTTGTTACTAATCACCCTCTCAGGTTTGTACTCGCAAAACTCGACCACTCAGGTAGACATCTTAAATGTTCGGTCATGTTGAGCGAATTTGATCTCTCCTTCTCGCCTTGAACTATTATCAAGGAAGAGGCGCTCATCGAATTCTTTGTGAACCTCCCCCTATCGTAACATGCGCAATGAAACATTGCATGTTGAGAAAATTATATGGAAACTCTCTGTGCACAACTCTACCAACACACAAGTTCAACAGGAACTTTCATACCACAGGCTTTATAAGTCCGTTCTCTCTTGACCAACATTCATGCCGAATATGAGGCTCTAATCATTGGCCTACGTTTTGGCATAAGAGTCGACATCGGACACCTCACAACTTATTTAGACTGCCTATAGGTTGTTTGTCTGTTGAACGTTGAATGCAAGGTAAGGGAGGAAGCATCGTTGAGATACTTGAACAAAGTTAATTCCGAGATAGGGAAGCTAAAATACTTTAAAATCGAGTACATTCCAGGAGAAGAAAATTAATTTTCCGACCTCCTATCAAAAATGGGAAATGTGAATGGAAAATTGATGCTAGAGTATTGCTTTGGTATGAACATGCAAGGTTTATAGTTGAGGAAGCATCAGTAATTTGTAAGGATGGAGTTGTAAGGGTGGAATTGTAAAATTGAATCTTACTAGGTGAGCAATTTTTTTATTGACATTTAGCTGGAGTAGAACTAACTGTACAGCCTTCCTTGAAATTATTGAAAGATTTATTATGCTTCATGCTAGCACCAATTAATGGAATAAAGTGACTGCCCTGGTGGTGCTGCTGCAGATCTATAAGAAGTTATACTAATAAACTCTCAAATTGTGTGTTCCATTTTATTTCCTAACTTGAAGTTCTCATCTTCTAATCATTATGAAGTGCTATTATAAATAATTTACTTTTGCGCTGTCTTAGTTTTCACTTGAGGTTTTCTTGGTAAGCACTGACATTATGTAGTGATTGAGATATTTGTCCCATTTAATAATTTATTTAATATTCTGTTAAACACTTCACCATTTGCTGATTTTTTTTTTTCAATTTCAACAAAAGTGGTATTCTGAGTCATAATTTTAGCAATTTTATGATGTTGGGAAGTTTTTTACTTTTCTAATAGTCTCAACTTGAAGATGCTATCGAGAATGAAAACTTTGCGGAAGCTTCCAAGCTGAAGGCAGATCTTACTGAAGCGACATCCAAGGATGTTGTAGCAGAAGTTATGTCTGAATTGAGGGTGAGTTCATTATTTCATTTACTTGACATCTTTTTTTCTTGAACTCTCAATTTTCTGAATAGTTGCGTTGGTTAACTCACAGAGTGCTATAGAAGATGAGCGTTACCATGATGCATTAAAATTATCTAGGCTTCCAACTGGTCTCGTAAGTTCTTTCAGTGATTTATCCGTTTTGGTTATTGTTTGCCATTCACTATATGCGCCTCTGAACAATATTCATTTATTTCCAATATCATATAGACATTCTGGATAGAAAATTTTTCCGATCTTCTTTCCCAGGAAACAAAAGAGTAATGCTAATAGTAATTTTTGTATTGTAGTGTACATCTTATGTGCTTTACGTATGTTTGTGCATACTGCTGGTTTTGAGCATGATGTCATGACTTATATTTTGATGAGTTTCATGGAAATGGAACCTTGAACTCTCTTAGTGGATGTAGAAGTTCATCATCATAGAAAGACATGGTATTATATGAGTGTATGTAAAAATGCATGTGCCACTTGAGTAAACCATTTTAGTGAGGAAGAAATATTGGGAGAATGGAGATTTTCTTCAAATTGCTTACAACAACACATTTTTATGAAGGATTTCAGACGTGCATTTAAGAGTGCTGACATTTTGTATGTTGTATTCAAATCCATGTGAATTTTGCTATGCATCAAATTTTGCAACTCCTTTGTTACAATTTGTTTTAAGCTCTTTGTTGCATATAAATATACTTCTGATAAGTCACTACTTAGTTGGACAAAGTCAGGTTAAAGCTTCTCAGTAACATGCCATATTTATTGGAAATAGATAACATCTGCAGAAGTCTGCAAGCAAGCCTATGTTTTAGCAGTAAAATATTAAATTTCAGTGTGAGATTATGATATTTTTTGTATGATAATTGCTCTTTTACGAAGCTTGTATTTTGCTTCAGACAAGAAAGTTTGTTTAGCTCCATTGATTCTGATCAGGTTGGTTGGTGGGTAGGCTTTCCAGAGGATCTTGATAACCCTTTTGGTAGAATAGTACGGATAACACCTTCTGTTGGGAGATTTGTGGGCAGGAGTTATAGTGCAAGGTGTGATTTAATATGTTATTGCTGCATTTTGAATTTGCTATCACAAGGTACTGATAGTTATCTATATTCAGACAACTGCATACAGGAAATTCAGGGACCCCTCTTTTTGAAATCTTCTTGGTCAAAGATAGTTACGGGGAATACATAATGCAGGTATTATTATGAAAAGGTTCGTTTGACTGTAAAATATAGTAATATCAAATAAACTTTTAATTTAATGGTGGAATTTTTGCCAGGCAGTAATCTTGCAACCGGTTAAAAGAAATTCCAATCTTAGTTCTAAAACTGGAGAGAGTCCCACCAGTGATTCTGTGGCGACATCCCTTGAAAGGAAAACTACGGAAGAGGATGGCACATATAAACCCAACGAAGAATCATCAGAGAAAGTTGATCAAAGCATCATCTCCAAGGAATCTAATGAAGAGGGGTTAAAAAGTGTAATTAATTTTCTCAAAGAAAGAAAGCCCGGGTTTAAAGTCAAGGTCTTGAATGCCAACAGATCTGAAGAAGAAAAACCACAAACAGAATCCGTAGAGAAATTAAATCAGGAAAATGATGAAAAAAGTGCTACACATGAAGATTCCAAGCAAGAAAGTAATCTTGAGAACATGCAAGATGATGTTGTTCCCTTTAATGCGGACACTGATCCTACCGAAGGTGACAGAGACATGGCTGTGAAACTTTTTATTGGTGGGGTGTTTCACAACACTGAAGATGTTTTGTCAAAATCATTTACCCGTCTTCCAGCAGAACTTAAAGGCATGGAAAGAGATTCATTTGTACTCCATAATACTGGAAGTAATGATGATCCAGATATGGAGGAGCAAAAAGCAACAAGAGTCAAGTTTGCAGCAATTGCTGCTCAAGCTGCCTCAGATCTTATGCCCCCTGAAGTTGCAAGGGCCTGGAGCATGGATAAAACCAAGGTGAGAACATTTTAATTTGTAGATTATCTAAAGTATAAAGCTGTCCAACTTGACGTTTCCAAATTTATCTGTTTGATGTAAGGACCCTACTCATAAGACCAACAAAGTGCAAGCAAGGTAAAAAATAGGGAGACGAAAGAGAAATGAGCTCTGAGACTAAAATTCTACTATAATAGATTTAAATACAAGTGAATGTCCCTGAAATACTTCTTTGACCCTATATTTATGATGTTTTCGGTGCTACACGAAAAGCTATATAAGAGAAATCAAAACTAAAGTAGAAAAGTTGTATAAAATAATAAAATTATATTCATAATTACATGAGACGTATAGCCTAAAGAGTATGTAGCTAAGAAAATATAGAAGTATACTTTGACAAGTGATAGATGGATATCAGGGGTGTCAAAAATTTACTCGACATGCCAACATGACTCGAATTCAACTCACAAAATTCGGGTTAGGTTTGACCCAAATATTTTTCGAGTCGAGTTGGATCAGAGAATTCGACCCGGTTTTTTTTTCTGGTTGGGTTCAGGTTTAATCTGAAATTCTAATCATGATCCGAATAAGCACGAAAGTTCATATTGTGTTCGGGTTAGCGGGTCAAGCTTGGGTTCAGGTCGGGTTTGGGTCTTAGTATTTGAACCATTTATTATTCCGGTCAGGTTTGGGTTGACTCTATTTGGGACGGGCGGAATTGACATCCCTTGTGGATACCTGATTGCTAGAGTATGTGCCTTGGAAGTCAGGGTTGTCATGTGGTTTGATTTGTTGAAGTTGTTGATAGTATGTTGGGGCGAGTGTCCTCTACTGACAAGCGTAAGTAACTCCAAGAGTGAATGGGGCTAGCAAATTTATAGGTTGGGTAAGTTGTTGTGCTCGGGCTAGTTGCTAAGATCTCATGCAATCCAAAATGGTCTTGATGAATTTTTATAGGAGTGTGATGAGTACTTGATAGCTTGGGCATGCACTATTTTCTTGGGAGATTTCACATTAGCTCCGAGGTAGTTTTGTTGGATCTTTGTAGATCAGGCGCTCTTCATTTAATCCATCGAGTTGTTTTATCCTCGTTTGGTCTTAACTACTTTTAAGCTTTTTTGGTATATTATTAATGCCTTGATTCTATAGTATCTTTGGAGGGCTAGTACATAAAGTACAAGAAAATGAATAAAATATCTAATAATGTTGAGCTAACAAATTAATCAAAATGTAATTTTTATATATATTTTTTTTTGCTTTTTATAAAAATGAATTCTATAAATATCTCGTTTCCCATGAATAATTCTTCATCCTTTAATTTGATATTTTCCTTCTCCTGGATTCATAAAATGGGCTAGGAGGCTTTTTGTAACTAACATTGAAAGAATGTTACAACTGAGAAACAAAGAAACGCTCAACAAAATCTAGGAGATATGTCTTCCATTGCTTCCTTGATAAAAGATAAAGAATGAGAAGATTGATGAAAATGGTAGAATAGAGGATGTAGTTGAATATTTTAATGTAAGTAATTTTCTCAAGAGGCAAGTGGAGGTTTCTCTCGACCAAGCACAACTTCGATTGAATATTTGAATAGATCTTTCAGGATGTTTTGGCTGCACTCTAAGTAGTTCATGAGGGCCACCAATAGGTCGACCTATCAGCATGCACAACAGTTAGATCACAAGGATGGTGTTCTTCAGAGAAGAATGCACCAGTGAATGACTTTGTAGGATTGCCAATTCATGCTAGACCCTCAAATTTGAATCAGTGAAGAATGTGGCGCTCCACTTTACATGTTGACTTCCAATTTTGTGAAGTTAAAAGGAACTTCGATCAAATATGTCTGCAGAGATGTATAAGCTCATGCTACATGTAAGAAGCAAAGTGCAAGAAGAGAAATAAAGAAAAAGGGAAAATGAATGTTGAGGCTTTAGAATCTCATTATATTAAATTTAGATATAAGAGAATGTCTTCCAAAAATGGCCCTTTTACTCTATAATGACCTTATGATTATAAGATTTCCGGTGCTATAATAGAAATTACATATATAAATAAAATAATATATTTTTAATTACATGAAGCATCTAGCCTAACAACTCTGCGTGGTAGCCAGGGTTGAGTAGCCAACTTGTTGAAAAGTCAGATAGTTTGTAAGGGCAAGTAACCTCTACTTGTGGGTATAAGTTACTTTGAGAACAAATCGGGTGAGTGGTTCTATAGCTTGTGTGACTGCTTTTTTATGTTAGGGCGAGTTGCCAAGAACTTTGGGAATCGAAAATGACCTTTGACAATCACTCCAAGAGTTTGGTGACTCTTTAGATCATTGTGAGCACCTGATGACTCGGGCGATTGCATATTTCCTCGGGCAAGTTTACACTATTTCTAAACTGGTTTTAGTTGTTTTTGTGAATCTACTTTTCATTTTGGTTCGCTGAGTTGTGCTATATTGGTTAGGTAATAACCTGCAATAATTAATATTAAACTTTTTTATATATATTTAGTTTACTGATTCTCTTATGTTTTAACTGGATAAATGTAAAAAAAACAAGAGAATGAATACATATCTTGTTCTAATCTTGCCATGTCAGCAAATTAATCAAAATTTAATCTTTTTTAATCTAAATTATTATGGTATTTTATGTAAATGAATTTCATTAATATCTCATAGCACCTTCGATGATTTATTCATCCTTGAAAATGATATTTTCCCTTTCATTGGTTTATGGATTTTGCTGGTGGCTTTTTGGAACGGACATTTCAAGAATGTTAGTGTAGAGAAACAAAGAAATGAAACCTCAAAAAAAATTTTGGGGAGTTGTCTTCTACTCCTCCCTCGAAGGAAATAGAGAAGGAGGTTGATGAAGGCAGAAGAAATGATGATGTGGCTGAAATTCCAAATATAAGAGATTTTCTCTGAAAGCTGTATTCACCCTCTTAAGCTGGTAGAAGTTTCTCCCCGCCAAACACAACTTGGATTGAACCTCGAAGTACTTCTTTCAAGATGTTCCAGTGGTAACAAAATGGTTTGATGAGGGTGATCGGGTGGTCGGCTTGTTGGCATGCCTCACAATTAGCATGACAAAAGTTGAAAGTTGTTGAGGGGATTAATAAAATTGAGCTCTCTATTGAATCTAGGATGATTTAGTTTGAGAACTTGGCTGAAAGATTTGTTGCATTGGGAATCATTCCGAAATTGTTAATAACTTATGAGAGTAGCTTGACAATTTGAAGAATGAGGTGCTTATGCTATGCAGAACTACAAGTTCTCGGGTAAATCAATTTGTTGTTGGTCTCAAGATTATAACTCAACACTTCATTTGAAGAGGCTTAAACTTCAAAGAGTTATTTTCTAATCCTATGGTGGAAAATTTGTTAGGTAGAGCAACTTCTCTTGTTGTTAAGCTTGAGAGTGCAATGATGTTTAGTATTTGCCACATTTGATGTACATTGAATCCTATGATAAATTTATAATTTTAATCTTTATTTGCCATATTAATTATGTGACTTATGTCTTTTTGAATTTACTATATTTATTAACAATCTGGCAATGTGAATCATAGAAACGATTGCACAACACATTAGATTCCACTTTTTTCCCTATAAATTGCTTGTAGCATAGCTCATTTGAAGTTTTCCTTTCTTTCTCTTAAGCATTTGAGGGTTCTCATTTTGAGCTTGAATCAAATTGATCTCTTTTCTTGAACATCTTTCATATTGTCAAATACATTACTTTCTTGTATTGAGCACTTCTTAAAGATGGATTGAATCCTCTCTAATTTGTGTGAAGTACAATGTGAATTCACCGATAAAAAGTAGTTCACTTTGAATTCTCATCCTGGGCTACTTCTGTACTAGAATAAAATAGATAGAGCTTTGCTTTTGTAAGAATTAAATTAGATTTGGACTGCAACTCCTTTTCTTCGAAACAATAGAAGTGAACATTTGATCCTATGAGGTGTTATCCACACAAATTGTTTCTAGCTCACTAGCGAGTATAGTCATGCTCTAGTGGAGTGGTCGATTAATTTCCTTTTTTTTATGTTCATTGCCCAGGCTTTTGAAGATAAATAAAAGGCTTAGAAAGTAAGTTCGGGAATTTGAATAAGAATTTCTTTTTTTGTTAAGATGGACAAGGATGACCTTGCAATACTAGTTTGAGTGAGATTCCATCCATCAAATTGGTTCCTCTACAAGCATCCTTGAAGGATAATAACTTTTACATCAATTTATTGGATAATGAGATGAACTGTGTTTCTTACACATCCTAAGCATTCATTTTGGTGGCACTTTCACTTGAACGACGGGCAACTAGCAAGCTTTTAGGCGAGCATTATTAGAGAATTCTCCTTTAGGAAAATTTTTTGTATTGCTGGAAACTTAATCTTTGTGTGATTATTTTTAGTATTTTGTTCAACAATTCTAATGTTGTCGTATTGTGTAAAACAGATGTTAAGTTACTAGAGGTTGCGCCTGAGAAGTAGCTGAGTCCATGCTGCTGAAAAAAAAGTTGTGGGTAGTGTTGAGTGTCGATGAGGAGCTGTCGGTGTTAGTGATAAGTGGCTTTGGATATTCCCTTTACTTTTGATTGTGGCAGTTGCATAACCCTTTTAAGCGGGAAGCCTGATAAGATTTGCTGTTGAGTATAAGCAAAGCCTGGAAGGTGAAGGAGAATTACTTAGAAGATTCAAACAAAGCTATAAGAACAAGCTTATTGCATGTTGTTGCATGTTGGGACAACAAAGAAAAAATTATCATAGATGCAAGTGTTGATCCATTAATGTCGAACAATAAGTTAACTGTGATAACTTTTGATCCTAATCTTGCCATGTTCTGTGAATATCTTCACAATTAACAGGACATGGATGACTTTGCAATATTAGTTTGTGTGAGATTCCATCCATCCAGTTGGTTCCTCTACAATTATCCTTAAAGGATAGCAAATTTTACATCAATTTATTGGATAATGAGCTGAACTGTCAAATTTGGAGCGAAAATGACCAAAATCTGGAGATTTGAACTAG